CCTGTCCTCTTCAAATAACTTCTGCATTTCTGCTGCTGTCTGTTGGCCTGTGTTTGTTACTGTCATTCTCAGTTTCTCCTTTGGTAGTGGTTGTAATTTAGTGTACTCCTAGCTCAGACATGTTTTATATGAAGCACATTTCTTTTTGCTTTGTATCCTGAATATCTTCTGAGCCTGCAGGATCATTACATTTTCTGAAATCTCATCTCTTCTTCCTGTTCAAGTTCTCCTTTAATGTTTGCATTAAATTAGCTAAGAAAGTAATTTATAGTTCTTTTTTTTCCAGCTTTGAATAACCTAGGTGGCTTTTTTAAAAATTATTATTATCATGCTGTTTTCCTTCCCAGTCACAGCAGTACTGAATATTGTTTATTTGTGTTTTAAGTGGCACTTAGGAATCCATGCCCTGTTGTGCTTGGTGTGTTTGCTTTAAAGCACCACATAACCTTTGGTTATGGGATCTTTGCTTTGGTTCCTAAGCATCTTTTGCTTTTCCTGATCTGTAAGCAGTGCACAGCCTGCCCAGGCAGGTGATCTCACCTTCTCAGTAGAAGCAACCTGGCTGAATCAGTAGCAAACCAGTTCAGTGCAGCAGTGTGGGGAATCTTGTGCAGGTGTTATCCATATGTGCTGGGTACATGCCTGGAAATGGGAAGGCTGATGGTAAGTTTTTTCATCTGTCAGCATATCATTTTTCACAAGGAGTGGAATTTTTTTGAAGGCTTAGGGGAAGGACGAATTCTGTTCAAGGTTCTTTCATTTTATTACTGTAAGATTTATAGCATTGCCAAGCCCCTTCTTTGGACTGATACCAGACCTGCCATCCCTCATCCATTTGAAGTGCAGAACTCCCTTCCTTTATTTTTTCCAGCTTTTATTCCAAAGATGGAAAAAAACCAGCATTTGAACTTCTTTTTGAAGGGATTCGTTTGCTCAGTCCTTATTTCTAAATTAGAAAGTAAGGAATGCTTTAAGGAGGCTTTGAGATTTTTATAGTTTTATTTTACATCCCACAATAGGGTTTTCAGTTTTAGAGCACTAACATATTTCTCCTTGGATTTAACCAACTCCCTTCCCTGTTAAAGTCGCTTTCTCTGCCTCGGTTCTCTTCCCTTCTAGACTTGAAGCTGTTACCTTTTGGATCCACCCATCCTGACTCTGAAATGAGGGCCTCATTGAAGAGAGCATTCCAAGAACAGTTTATCCTTTGCTAGTTGATAGAGGTTTCCTAATGCAGGGTTGCTTTTTTGGCTTTTCTTTGAGCACTGCTGAGGCCAAATGTGTTCCCAGGCACTCTGAAATTCCTCAGCAGTTCACTTTTTTCTGACTGCCCCTTCAGCTTCGGGAGAAGCCTGGATGGGGAGAGACACTGTCACGTGCCCTGGCTCTTGAGCCCTGCACTTCAGTACTGTGAGGAGTTGACTGCCAAGATCTCTCCAAGTCTGACCTTTTCTGGGAATACAATTGTTCCAGCATGCTTTACTCTTTATCTTGAATCACAGAATACTAGGTTCTCTGTGAACAAAAGCAATTTTTCCTAATTTACATATGTCTGTCAGAATTGTCCCTTCCTAAAGAACAGAGGGAATCCATTCTTGTATTGTGCATTCCACCCCACACATTTTGTTATGAGTGCCTAATTAAGTATGTTAAGTGCTAGTTCTCAGTAATTGATATCACTGAACCACTCATTGCATATCTAGGGAAAACAATAGACAAAACTTTATAACAAGCTGATCATAGCCACCTAGGGGAAGGTGTAATTTTTAACTTCTAGCAAGGTTTAAATGACTGGGAACAAAGTCCAGAAAAATGATTTGGGTCCTTACAAAATGAGGCTCTGAGCTGCAATGATTTTAGGCTGCCCTTCTGTCTCTTCTGTAGCCTCAGGCACTGAATTGCAGCTTGTCCATATATTTGGTACCTGTCCTGGTTTTCTTCTGGCTCAAAATCACAGGTGTGTTGTCTTTTGCTGGATTCTTCTTTTGTACCTTTCTCAGAGAATCCTAAGGAGAACTGCTGTAAATGTATGTTCATGTTTCCCCTACCCTTCCCCCAGTCTCCACTCTCTTTCCCACCCCTTCCCAAATTCCAGTAATATTACAGAACAAGAGCCAGAACTCCAGCATTAATCTCAAATTCAGAATGAGATTTTTCTGGCTCTATCTGCAGCTAATGCTGAAGACAACAGAGGTTAGAAATGCACTTTAAAAAAAAGAAAAAGAACAAAAGGCCTTTTCATATTCAACACACTGGATGGATTGTATTAGGTATAAATAAGCTTTCAAAGACCAGAGCATATGTAAAAAAATATTATATGTATTGTTATTGGAAGGCAGAGGAACATTTATTTACTTACTGACAACATTGAAAGTTCCTGAGCTTGAACTTATATAAACTCATTGTTTCTTCAAATTTTGTGTGTGGAGAGAACAGTTCCTTTCTTCATCTTGTTGGCTCATGTACAGATAAGCAGTAAAACCAAAAAGTCAAATGAACAGAAGGAAAACTGTGTTGATAGTTACATGCCAGCAATGTACAAACTAACCATTTGTAAGGAGATATATAAACAAACTTCAAAAGCAGTGAAGTTTTGAAAACATAAATTTCACAGGCAAACTGAAATTGAGTAGAGAGTGAAGAGAATGTAGAATTCAGATAATTTGCATTTGTTTTCTTTGACCTCAAACCAAGTATTTTCTTTAATTTTCATCGTTAAGTGCATAGAAGTGTTATTAACCTTTATGAATTGACTTTAAAAGCCAAAATCAAAGATAAATACTACTGTTCTTCCAAACTGTTTTTGTTTTAATTGTTGGTTTATTCACTGGAAAGTATTTACTGGCTTCTGTAGTCTGCACAGGCACTTACTCCTCTGTGACCCCTGTCCTTCATTGTTTCAAGGGTCACTTTTCCCTGCCATGGGGAGGATGGCTTGTGTCCCTCTCCAGTTGGTGTGGGGTTGTGGCTTCAGGTGACCTCAATGAGCTGTCAGCAGACAAATTTGTTAGCTGTGTCAAGTAATGGATTGTGTCCATCTTGTTGTGAGGACAAGGGTTATTTCAGAGGACAGAAGCTGATCTGAATTCTTTAAATGAAGAAGGAGGTCATCTGCATGTCCTATGGAGGATGATTTGGCAAAGCAGTCTAGAGAAACTGCTCTGCAATATCCATGTGCTGTTCTTCCTCCAAGGAACTGAAAGAATGTATTTTAGCAAAGGATTCCTCAGTCTATCCAGTATCCCAAAATCCATGAACACAGAAAGCGTTGTTGGTTTTCTTTTTTTGCTCTTTTCAATGTGGATTAATCTGTTCTTAAATTCCAAGAAAATACCAATACCCATCAGTCTATCCTTTAGTCTGGAAGTTTGTATTATTTGTTTTCTTGGGAAGGGCTCCCTTATTTTCTTCTCATCTCTCTGGCATTAGAATTGGCTTATCTCACGTTTCTGATGAACCTACATTTTCCAGATATATAAAAACATAGGGCTTTATTTTTCAAAACTGAAACAGTTGGATTGCCTTTTTGTTTTACTGGGATAAGCATCCACAATGCTCTGGGGAATGGAGAATGATCTAAAATAAGCCTAGCTGTTTTTTGTTGTTTATCTGTTTCTTTTTGCATCTGTCTTAGTATTTATTGCTACCATCTGCGTTTCATTTCAGGTTGTCTAATGTCTCATTCTGCATGTTCTTTGCCTATTCTTTTTACATAGCCTTGGGCTGTAATATCACCATTTGCCTACAAGAGATCCATTTCTATCTGTAACAAAATGAATTGCATTCATCTGTGTAATTCATTTCTAATGAATGCCTTGCTCCTCATTAAACAGTGATTTACCTTTGTTTCCCTTTCCTACACTGTCAACACGAACCATTTTGAGGTCCTGTGGAGAGATGCTAATTTGAGAAAGCAAAAGTCAATGTAACTAAGCACTCACGGGGGCCTTCCTCCTTGGCACTTCCAAAAATATTCATGGGACACTTAGCAGAATACAATTTGCAGGTGGATAAGAAGACTCAAAATGTTTTCCTGTTCATAAGCTCTCAGTGTACTGACAGTTTAAATGCATCTCTCCTTGACACTGTCAGGAACAGGTGAATCTTTTCAGACCTTGTCTGCTCTGCAAGAATTTTACTTACCACAGGCACATTTTTGGGAGACTGTACTCTTGGTTCACTGTCTCCTCTCTACCTTTTCAGGAATATTAAAATATTTTGAATGTGTTTTCAGATTAATATTTTTAAATACCTAATTTTGAAATCTGTCAAAATGTGAAAAACTTGAAAATATTTTACTTCAATGTTTTCATGAGATGCAAAAATTCATATAAATATTTAATGGCTTTGCCAAAGGAAAAGGATGAATACCATTAATTAATGAAATAGGGTTGTGTAGTAATTTTGTTACAGATTTGGTTCTTATGCAACTTCTGTGTAATGCACTTTGAAGCTCTCCAAAAACATTCCATTTTCTAGCCCTGCAGAACTTTGCAGAACAGCAGAATCTGCCATGTGTGCAAATAGATCTGTGCTGCTGACAGATGATGGTTAGAGTATGGGATGAATTACCAAGTTTATTTTCACTTTAACCCTAATAAGAGTTTGAACTGCAGTGGATTATGAATATGAAAATACCATTGATAAACATAATTTAAAACAATACAGATGATTTTTAGGAAGTTTTATTTACAGCCTCTTCAACTCTTACTTTGGTGATAGTACAAGCCACTCATCAACACTTTTGATCGTTTGAATTTAGCTTGGCATTTTTCAATATTTATTTGTGTGTTGGGCCAGACTGATCCCCAGTTGAAACTTTAGAATTGCCAGTAAGCATCAGTGGATTTACACCACGGGCTAATTTGATCATGGTATTATGAGGGGATTGGAGCATGGGAGGTTGGGTTTTTGTAACTGGTCTTGCCTAAGTTGTGTAGTATTTCAAAGTAAGAACACTGATTAATGTAACAAAACCTTATTTTTAATATACATTTTAGAGGACAAAACTGACCTTGAGAACAGTGTGATGCAGAAGAAAATTAAAATCCCCAAACTCTCTCTCAATCACATAGAAGAAGCTGGGGAGGTTACAGATTATGGGGAAGAAGATGTGGAGCTTAGACACAGTAAGGTACTGAAGTCTTTCTGGTTTTGTTTTTTTCTCTCCTTTTTTTTAATCCTTGCAAGTGCTTGGGGCATATACAAACATCCTAGCTTAAGAATTCCAGGCTTGCTTTTGATCCCCTTAAAATAGTGTGTTTGGTGAAATTGGGTCACATTGTGTGTGGGGGTGGGGTATGGGTTTTCAAAACCTGATTTAAGTGCAATGAAACGTTTTCCTGTGTATACTGTCTGCACAGTGTAACTGCCATCTGAGACTGGTGCAACAATGCTCTTCCACTTTGGCCCAGAATGCTTTAGAAGTCACCAGTACTTAACTGTGCCAGCTGTTTGTGGTGGCACTTGTGACATATTGCTCGCTGCTTGTTTGGAATTGGGAGGGGTGCTCTGAGACTGCCCATCTACAGCAGTGACTGAGAAGAAGAATTGACAGGACTGTATCACTCCATTGTAACTGCCTTTTTAGGTTCAAACACCAGAAACCCAATATGGAAATGTATTTATTTTTTGATATGAAATTATTTTTTTAAAAGTCTGCAAGCCTTCAGAATGAGATATTGCTCTGTGGCTTCATGTGTTTTGCAGCTGCAGGAGTGATATTAGTGCATTTCCTTGTGATGGGCCAGTTTTTTTTTTTAATTGTTAAATTATTTTTTAGAACATGAATGGAGCAGGTGTAACATCAAATAATTTTCTTTTCTGCCACATTACTCATGGATATTGTGGTATGGGAATTTGATAGCATCAGCTTCTCACCTCTAATCTGTGAGTTGCATTTGCTTTCCTTGCAGTTGCTTGGAAGTTCAAATGCGTTTTCTTATTTGGCCAGTAAAACTTAGTGACTTTACCTGTACTGTCACATATTAATCCCACTACCCAGGCCCCAGGAAAGTGGTGTGATTTAATTTGTAGGGTTTGTGCAGATGACTGAAGGTAAAATTCCACTGAAAATTCCCAGGCCCTGAAGCCTCTGCAATGCAAAACTAATATAGAAGGAATCAGTTGATAAGGAAGATGAGGCTGGATGATATATTCTGTCTCCAGCTTCAGTGTTTTCAAATCCCTTTCAGTGTTTGCTGATAGTGTTAACTCAGTCACTTGCATCAGGCAGTTGTGTGAACGTGCTGTAGGGATAGTGAGAGAAAGTTTTGTCTCCCAAAGTGTGGGAAGGACAAGCCCTCAGTTCACAGAACAGCTTTGTGCCTATGCTGCTTTCACCTCTGATGTCGTCACAGGTGACAAATGGAGCACACAGTTGATTCTTTCTCCTTCTTATCAGAAAATCAGTTGTTGTCAGAAATCTGAATGTTCAGGGTAAACTTTAAAGAAAAAGAGATCTAGATTCACTTTTTAAAAAAGAAATTAGTGATACGGAATCAAGTGACCTATATACACTGCCTTTGTAAGTGTTGCACAAATGCAGGAAGGACTGTAACTGCCTCAGAAGTTTGTACCTGCATTTAGCTGAGCTACAGTTGCATGTTAGTTATGCTTTATGTTTTATCCATAAGAAACTGTTAGGCAAAATATTTTTGCAGACTGGATTTGTCTTAGTTTTTTTGGAGAACAAGAATATTAGTAGTTCCCAAGACTGTAGAATTTTGATTTTATTATGTCTTACTGCTCTCCTAATTAATTTGTTTTTTATTGTAACGTGCAGAGACAAGATGGGAGGAAACAAAGTGAAGGTACACACAAAAGCATTGAAGCAGTTGTTGCTCGCCTTGAAAAACAGAACGGGATGAGTCTCAGTAATACTTCCAGCCCTGAGGAGGCTTTTATGGAGGCTACAGAAGGCATGAACAATATGGACGATGCCGTAGTTCCTCGGATTCTCTATGAGGAATTGCTGAGGAGTTACCAGCAGCAGCAGGAAGAAATGAGACACATTCAACAGGAGCTTGAGAGAACGCGGAGACAGCTTGTGCAACAGGCAAAGAAGCTAAAGGAGTATGGGGCACTCGTTTCAGAAATGAAAGAGCTCAGAGACTTGAACAGGAGGCTTCAGGATGTACTGCTCCTAAGACTAGGTAGTGGTAAGTGCCGGACTTAAGTGGGACTAGTTTGAATGAGTTTTGCAGTTGTGATCAATAGTAATGGAAATGTATTTGAAGAATAGCAGTGGTTGTTAAACTGGACATTGAATGTTAAAAGGGTTTTCTGCTGTGGCTGTACAACGTGTCAAATTTGTATGCTATGTACGTCTGGGGTTTTCTTTAAAAACTAGAGGTCTTTGTGCTGGTATGGCTGAACCAGAGTTCCATTTTAAGCAGCTGTATTATAAAGAGTCTCTGACCTTCCAATATATGCTGGAAAAGTTAATAAAGCATCATTTGCAAAATATACCAATATGTTCCAGTTAAAAAAAAAAAAAAGAAAAAAAAAAAGAAAAGAAAAGGTGCTGGAATGAATAGTTGGGCTAAAACTAATTTATCCTTTGCAGTTAGGGATTTTGTTTATTGTTATGTGACTATGTTACCTTCCATTTTCTGACCCCTCTTCCCATTAGCAGCTTATTAGAATGTGATATATTCCTGAAGTTTTAGCAGTGGCTTTAAACAGCCATGCTATTTGAAAAACAATGGATTGTTAAAGCATAATTAAAAAAACTTCATATTAGTGTCCCATTTATCAACACTTGTTGCAAAATGCAGGTTTTTGTAATTTGGATTTCAATTTTAAATATCTTGGGTCAATTGCTCCTTTGTTTGGGTTTATAACAATTATTTAAGCATTATGTTGGAATAAATGGGAAAAAAGACAAAATAAAAAGTTCATCCTTTTCATTGAAGATGATACCCTTGGAATACCTTCAAAAATTTGACTAATTACATTTCTTTGTGATTAGAATGTGGTACTGCTGTGTTGAAGATTTGCTCGGTGACTGAAACTTGTTTGAAATCTATGCATCCAAACTTAGCATGCTGTTCTTACGTCTGCCTTTGTGTATCTGGAAACTTAATTTTTGCATGTCAATTGGATATTGGCTCTTTTCCTGGACTGGAACGAGTGCATGCAATTTGCATGTGGGTCTGAGTTACCCTCACGTACAGAGCTGGACCTGAGAGAGCATGTGCCTGTGCTGTAGCATGTGTTCAGGTGTGCCCACACCCTTGGAGCCAAGTTCTTGGAGTGTCCCACAACCTAAACTGAGTGTCTGATTGTGAATGCTCATCATTGTTACACTGTGCATAATTAAAATGTCGTTACTTACCATCAACATTCTAGTTAACTTTCTAAATAAAACTAAATAGGCAAGGTTGCCACAGCCTGAAAAACATGATGTGGTTGGCAGGAGATTCCACTGAGCTTTCTAAAATTTTCCTTGGATGGAAAGATGTTTCTTCATCTGCAAGTAGTTAGCTGGAATTTATGGGAATGGAGCACGAGCCAGATGTTGGTAGGCAATGGGGCTGAACAGCGTGAAGTACCAATTTAGTTGGTAGACTTGACAGCAGTTGGGAGTGGTGAGACCAGCAGTGAAATGAAGACAGCTACTGAATTCTGTCTCTTTTCTTTCACTTTAAGAAAAAGATGCATTTTTTTGCTTCAGCCAAATAAAGAATTTTCTTAGGATGAAAAAAAAAAAATAAAAGAGGAAAAGAAACTCTGGAAAAAAAATACTGAATCTTCTCTAAATACTGGGCATGAATTTCTATTGTATGTATCAGTCTGACAACTCAAAGCAAATCCAAATTACACTGAAGACAAGCTCTTTAAATTTAATCACATACCTGGAAAAAATATCAGCTATATGATACTTCAAAAAAAAAAAATCCCTTGTTATTATAACTTGTAAGGAACCTTATATTATGGTAAAGGTAGAATTTGGCCGTGCTGGCTTTGTCCTTCACAGGGTTTGTATTTCCTAAGACTCGGTGTTTTAACTGTTGCTTACTCTGTTGTTTTTCCTTGTAGCCTCATTCACAGCAGAGAAACAACCATGTTCTAGAAAGATCAATACAAAACTTATGAATAATTAGCAAGGGAGACATCTTCAGCATGTTCTAAATTAGAGAGTCTGATGACAGTATGAAAAAGTACTACTTTTAATCAAGAATAGATACGTAAAGACTTTTTTAGTCTTCCTTACTTTTCCAGCTTATAAATGAGGTATGTTTGGGTATGTGAATAATCTCTGAAAATTGTTCTGAAAATAAATTACATCCTGAATTCATCTGCAGTTGCAGTGATCTCTTAAACCTAGAGTTTCAAATTACGTGTAATTTATGTTACACTGCACTTCTAGCAGGCTGGACTTAATGCAAACTAATTGCATTTCTGTTTCACCTTAGAGACTTGTGATTTCTTTGCATGAGGTGACAGCTGGTTTGTGCTGATGAATTGCAGCTGTGGGAAATGCGTGCCTGTTGCCATTTTAAACTTGCAGATCAAATATAGAACAGCCTCTTGAGCTAACATGCAGTCAAGTAGTCAGTCTCCTAATTTCCTATCAACTTGTTCAATTCAGTGAGGAGCTGGAAGTCAATGTATTGTACTTGAGACTCAGGCCTTCAGCTCTGCTACTAAACTGGAGCCACTTCTGTGGCAGGAGTGAGGAGGTTCATCTTCCTCATGGTGACACCAGATTGCTGTTTGTCATGAAGGAACCTTGGAAGCAGCTGTGGCAAGTGACAGTAGTGAAATCAGTACTGATCCATGGAGAAATGCTGAATATCATCTTCTTGATTTTAGTATATTATTTCCCAGCAGATCCCTCCCCGGAGAAGGCAGGCATTTCACCGGGGCTCTAGGGACCAGAGCAGTGGAAAAATGTGATGGCTGTTGTGGAAAAGGTTATGGTGTCCTTCTTGAGCTCCTGGAATACTGTGTGCAGCCTCCTGCCTTGTCCACTTGGGGAATTGGAAGCCTTGCAACCAACTGTAGGCTTTTGCAGTTTTTGTTGCACCTGAAAATGCACCTAATTTGGCCCTTTTTTTTAATCAATAGAGAGCAAGATAATATAAAGAATTAAATAACTGACTCTCCCCTGTAGGGACTTTAAATAGCCCTCAGATTGCAGAAGAAGAATTTCAGTAACTTCTTAAAAGAATAGCTGTATCCCAGGCAAGATCTGTGCAGTTTCCTGTGGCTGGAAATATGGTCAGAACTACCAGAGTTGTATAGGGATAATGCTTGGGTGTTTTTAGCTCCCTGGTTATTTCTTAATTTTCATGTTATTTTGCTGAGAATTAGTGTTGCTCTGAAGTCAGGGAATATACTCATTTTCATTCAGAAACACGGATTCATCAGCACATGCACACAGACCCCCAAGGTTTTATTTTTAATCCTAGTTTAATTTCAGTGATCCAGTTTACAGTGTCTTGGGACTGACACCAGAGTAGGGAGAATGAAGTGGGATTTGTGTCTTACCACATGTCAGGAATTACTGTTTTTCAGCTTTCCTAGATTTGTCTGGCTTTTTGATGTTTTTGATGTTTAAAAACAAAAACAAAAAAAAGGCTCAAGGTTTCTATGAAGTATAGAAAGTACCAATATTACCACTTCTCCAACTTGTCTTGTTTTGTTTCAAATTCTGGTAGACTATGTGAAAAAACTTACTGCTTATAAATGTATGCTGACCACTTTATCAGTCAATTTACTTTTACTTTCTTACTAATTTTAGGAGTAGCATGTAGCCTAAGATACATTTTTGACGAAAAGGGATGGTAAAGGGAAGCCTTCTACCTCTTCACCCTGATTTGAATTTTCTGGCCTCTTGGACATTATAAAAAAATCTGCAGTCAGATTGAGAAAGATTTTACAATAAAACATTTGTTTCCTTCTTGCATTCTGAAAATCGTCTTCTTTTTTTTTTCCCCTGATCCTTATTACATAAATGCTGTCATTCTTAAGCCTCTAGATAGAGGTAAATATTTTTATATGTCCCATTCATCATCTTTAAAATAAGATGCAGAGAGGGGGAACTTGAAGTGTGGTGGAATGGGCACACTGCTCTGTTTTCTGGCAGGCAGGAGTGCAGGTTACATGTGCAATTCACAGCACGCAGGGTGGAAAACACAGAGCTTAGTGGAAGTTGTGGAAGTGGCTGTGGAGACTGCCTGGTTAGAGGCAGGTTTCTGTTTGGGAATCAAAAACCAGAATATAAAAAAGAGATTTTAAAGGCTTCCTTTTGGTGACTTCTAAGCAAGCAGTAAAGCATGAATTGGAGCAGAGGTATTCTGACCTGTGAGAGTTGTGGTTGTGGACTTTAATGAGCTTTTTCCTTGGGGAAGCTCTGGAAACCAAATTCCAGCTGTGTCAATATATGACTAAAAACAGTGAAAGACTTATAAATAGGGACTAGTAAAAGTGTTTAAAGGGAAATAAATGTTTCCTGCTAGGAAGAAGGTGGTTAGACTTAGGTGTCTTCCTCAAAGTGACTTTCAAAGTGTAAGAAAATAGCCCTTTGTTGATGAATGTTTTCTCTAAGTAACAGCTTCAGAGATGACTTCTTAAGGTCCCACTGGCAATTACATCCCTGCATCTGCTTGTTCAGTTGTCCCCATGCTGTGGGCAGGTTTTGGGCGCTTTAACCAGTTCAGGTCTTCCCCCTCAGTCTGGATCAGCTTTAAAGGCTCAATGTAAAGGCTGTAAACTCAGGGTGAGTCAGTTTGTCTTGGCTGTACCATTGTATATTCATGGTACTAGAGGTGCTTACTAAGATCACTATGGAATGAAAATGCAAATGGGATGTTTGTGTGATTTCTCTGTTTGTGCCATGCTTGCACTGGGGCTGGCTCTTAAAACCCTCTTGTTGGTGGCACTGCAGCGTAGGATTGTCTGAGTTGCCAAGACAACTTTTAGTCACTGGCGAGCATGGAGTGGCAGCCAGCTGAGAACATTTAGCTGGCTATGTAGGTGTAGGATAAGCTATAGGATAAATGTCAAATGCTGACAACGGAGGAAGCACTGCTATGGCTGTTTAATAATCTCTAAATGAAACTGCACAAAGTGGGAGGGAAGAATGCTGTGCTTGTTCCAGGCACAGGAACTATTTAAGATGCGTGACTAAGACCTGAGCTGTGGTGCCAGTGTGACTTGCAGAGTTGGATCAGTTCAGGGCTGGGTCTGTGTGCACAAACATGAGCAGGGAGCTGAAGGGTGACATGATGATTGAGTTGTCACCAGCTGAAGATGTCAGGGCTGGGCTGCAGAGTGGTGCAGTGCTCTCAGCAACAGCCTGCTACAATCTAGCACTGACAAGTGGGTGAGTTTATCCTTAGAGTTCTGGACGTGGGGTATTTCCACCGTGTCCAGAGTTTAATCTGGCAGCCTTGCTGTGCTGTGGAGCCACCAGCCCTGCATGGAACTTCAGTGCCTGCTGGAGCTTCTTGGGATCCTAGAGCCACACACCAAGGGACACTGATAGGCTTGGGGCCGTAGCCTAGACTTCTGGTGGAACCCCTGCAATGAATGGAGTCAAGAAATCCAGTTCACAAATTATTCTTAGTTTGTTCTTCTGTCCTTTTAGGAACATTTCATAACTTGGATCTGGAAAAGAAAAGTTGATGATTGACAAAATAATTATCCCCCTTTTAAGTCTCAAACATGTATTTAGTAGTAGTCCATTGTTTAATTTGTGCCTAATTTTTGTTGATTACATTAAAAATAAAAATCAGTGTTGGATGGATTGGACGATCAAAACTCTAACTTATGTAGGGTTTTTTAACCTTTGATATTCTTTCTGTGCATGATATTTCAGTGTAAGGAGCCTGTTTCCTTCATAGCATTTCTGCAGATTCTCACTATTTCTATACACCTCTGTTATATCTAAAAGAGATTTTGGATTTCTATAAAATTTGTAATTGTGTGGATAATTTATGTAATTATCACAGTAAATTATGCAGGTTCCTATGCAACTATATAGCAATTCTTATTTGAAGAATTACTATTGTTGCTCTTGGTTTTTAATTTCAGTGTCATTTTAATATAATTTCCTTAGTGTGCGTTGAAGAAATCTTACCCATATCTGTAATTGTCCTTATGCTTTAGGAATAAAATTAAACACTTAAATTAAAATTAAACATTTTAATGTTTATAAATCAGGAATACTTATCCCGCTTTTAGTTTCTGACGTTCAGCAGTAGGATTTTGGTTTAGATTACTTCTAACTTCAAAATGAACATGACTAATATGTTATTTTATGCTAATCATGGGTGATGAAGGGATTGATTTCATGTTCTCTGGGATAGCAGACAGCTCTCTTTTCTTAACTGTCTAGGACCTGCCATTGAGGTTGAAAAAGTAAAACCTGAATCTATTGAGCCCGAACCTGAGGTACAGAAGACCTTCAGTGAGGAAGCAAATACATCAACGTACTACCCTGCCCCTGTTCCAGTAATGGACAAGTATATTCTCGAGAATGGAAAGGTATTTTATATTAAATATAGCATGAGTAATTTTTAAATGTCCATCTGGTGATGTTCTTGTGGAATTTTCATGATTGTGGGGGTTTTGGATGGTAGCAGCTTGTACAAGCTTCCTCAGTTTTCATGAAGGTGTGCTGTTATGCTGAGGAGAATTGTGAAGTTACACAGATATGAAGGGCATAGAAAAATATCCTCAGTGGTGAGAACATTGAAGGCTGTGCAACATAAGGAATATAGTTATTAAATATGCATGCGCAGGCAAATTGACATAGTCTTCATTTGGTGACATCCATAAATACACCAAATATTGACCAAAGTCAGTAACCCACATTATAAAGTTACATGAGTCTACTTAACCAAAACACTTCTTCCTGAAAGGTTTTTAATGTTTATAATGTGCTGTAGTCATATTGCAGAGAAGCCCTCATGTTTGGGTTAGAGCGCAGGAGGTAGTTAGGAACTGTGGAAGGAAAATGGACTCCCTTGATGCTGGTAGGAGCATTGCCACTGAATTGAGCTGATGTAGTGCTACTTTCCAGAGACTCTGAAGTTGCTGAAATACCATCTAGCTCTAGTTTTCCGGAACTTAGACTGAGAGCTTTTCAGATTTCTACATTTTTAGCACATTAACTGCACATCTCTCTAAGCTTGGTTTTACAGCTGATTTCATTATCGTTAAATAAATGTGATGTTTCTTAAACAAAACTCTTAAGTCCTTCAGAATTTCCTGTGCAGATCCTGTTTCTTGGTGTATATAGATGCATTTGGTACCCTAATCTGAGAACCCTTAAGGAGGAAACATCCATTCCAGCTCTGCTGTACAGTGGAATTACTGATGGAATATAGCATGAAACTGCATTTTCAGATTTGTGTTAAAAGATTGACTATACAATGTCTGTCCCTCTTGAAGATGAATTCAGTGTAATTATTGAGGACAGAATGTACATAAAAACAGTAGAATCGTGACAGTTTGAGAGGTATTTGGTTCAGATAGCTTTTCTTGCCTAATATATTTAAATATGTAATTTGACTGATTATTTTGTGTGAATTTGTGCAATGAATACTTAGGGTGTATTACTGTACGAGTTTTCTTTACCTCCTTCTCTTCCACTTAAGGTCTGTGGGATAGGGCACATCCTTTAGTATTTGTATGCAGCTTTTCCTGCACCCTTTTTTCATCTGTCAGCTTCTTTGCATTTCTTTTGCTGAAGTTTTCTGTCTTTACAGATATTAGTATCTCTTTAATTATTTTTTGTAGTTTTGGTCCTTGGTTTGTCTATTTACTGGGTCTACAGCCAGCTCAGATGCCAAAAAATGTGAACTAATGATGTATTTGGAGTTGTTGGAGGGTAGTTTTCTTCAGGTTTCTTTATTTATGGCTTTGCTTCAGTATTCCTATATTGATATGCACCACTAGAGTATTTGAAATACTTTTTTTTACAAATCTTGCCCTTTGTGGCACCAGATTTGATCTTAGTAGGATTCTTTCAAAGCAGATAAATCTCTTCCCTCCAGAGGGAAAACAGAGTCACTGAAAAAGAGCCTATGCCATTCATTTAAAAAAAAAAGAAAGAAGAAGAAAGAAAAAAAAAAAAGAGCTCATCTTCTGAGGCACTTTTTAGATCTATTGCAGATGTTAGCACAGCCACGCTGGTGAGCGTTGCTTTGAGTTCGCTGCTGTCTCTGTTGCATTGTGCTTGAAGGTTGATCCTGCAGTCTCTAAAATTGGGAGTAAATTTCCCATTGATTTCATCAAGACAAGAGTCTGGCTCATGGGGCAGCTCTTCCAGCAAGAAGGGAACATCTTCTGAGTGTGGAGTACAGTAAGCTTCCCAGAGCTTTGGGATGGATAGGAAACAGTACCGGGCCTGTTGTAGAGAGGTAAACTGAGACATGGGCAGATTGAATTCCTCACCGTAACGCTGCTAGAAATAGAAAAAGGGAGACGTAAGATTGCCGTGGCTGTGGCTGTCTGTCATGTAGTTGCTGTTTCCATAGGTGTTTCATACCAGCAATTGCTTTTTTAATAAATGAAGCATGTTAAAAGAAGAGATTGTCTGTCTGAAGCATGAATATTAAAAATTTTTCCTGTAACTTGTTCTTTTCTTTTGAGTAACTTCAAGCTAATGAATAATGTGGTATCTTAAGAGGCTAAATAATCTTTGGCAAAGGCAAACCCTAATTTTGGCAGAGAGGAATTGGATTTTTGATCAAGTACAACAGTCCCTACAACTAATATAATACAGACATCCAAAATTTGGTATGTCACAACATTTCTAATCTTAGTTATTTTCTAGGTAAATAGAAAATCGTAGTTATTTTCAAACATTTTCCCTGAGAACTTTTCCAAGATCTAACCAGAAATAACTGAATTTAAACATGCACTAAGATTATTTTCTGAGCACAGACAGCTCACTTCTCATTGAAGTTGCCTTACAAAATATATAGAGAACACCAAAAGAGTGTGCTTTTTAAAAAATTATTTATGGAGAGGCTCAACAACAGAGAAAAATGAAAAAAAAGGAAAAAAGGAGTGTTGTGTTGTGGTTATTACTAGTTGAATTTCTGTCCAGGAAGACTTGTGAAAAGCATCTTAGAATCCCTTTAGTGGAGAAGATTTTGCAGTACAGGCAGTTTACTGCATGTTTTATTCTTTAAGGAAGGTAGAGTTTTCTTTAATAAATAAATATATATATATATATATATATAAAACATATATAACATGGCTTGTAGCCAAACCAGTCATATTACTCCATTTAAGTTTTTAAACATCTAGTTGCTTTTGAAGGATGCCATTGTAATAAAAAATTTCTTGGGGTTATAGTCCTCATTAATAATTAAAGCAGGTTTCCATTTAAAGAAAAATGGTATTCAGTGGAATACAGGCAGTAAAATGTTTGGTGTATAGAATTTTACAGTAGCTTTGTCCAATTTTCATTGCATTTAAGGGGACTTCTGTGATACTGCTCTGATTTGTATGGGTAGCAGCACAGTTTATGTAAAGCCAGATAAAATGAGTAAAACCACAGAAAACTAAGGGCACAGCAGTTAAGGCAGTCTTCTGATGTAGTTTTGCTATGAGATTTTGTTGACAGGATTTTTTTTTTAATCATAAGAAGGGCAAAAGTTTTTTTTAAGTGTTAATGTTACAGAAAGAACCCCTATTGGACCAGGTCTTATCAAAGTTAGATTATGGCTATGCAGCAATCCAATAGTTTGGAATGTTGCACTTGTCCAGATTGTCTGAAGGTAAGTGCAGTGAGCTCTGATCAGCAGCTGGGAGGTGTGGGTCACACCTTAGCTTGTTTTGATGAGAGCAAGTGTGTGAAGTCCATCACCATGTGAACAAAGCTTGCTGTGTGCAGAGGTAGCTCAGGAGTCTGCACTGTACTCCAGGAACTGGAGCGTGGACATTCAGGGTACAAAGTACTTGTGGTTCCACGCAGGGCCAGCCTGTGTGTCCTGGTTACACTTGTGTCAGACTTGTGCTGGTTACTCGTGGAGTTACCTCCGTGCTGTTGCTTGAAGGTGTCCTGAGTGTCAGGACTACCAGCTCAAATGTGTAGTGGCAGCCTAAGGGATTCCTGTCCTGCATTTGTCCTAAGACTGGAGCACTGGAAATCTTGGGGTAGTGACGTAGGGTGTCCCTGTGAGAGACAGGCAAGCGCAGTCAGTGCTGTGCAAGACTAACAAACAAAACCAGGCTTGAGCATCTTCCTTTTGGAGACTGTCCACTGGCTTCACACTGCATTTTGCAGTACCATATTATCCTGCTTTACTACTTCAGTGAAATACCTCGACTTCCCATTGTTCAGATAATGGAAAGTTTACGATGTTGCTGCAATGGGTCATTGCCTAACCACAAAACAGTATTCATGTGGTGCATTTATGTTGATCGTACGTGACAGACACACTTTTTGTTAGACCTGGAAGTTTTACAAAGCTTCCAAACTCTCCTGGCTTATATTGAAATTGAAGCTCTCAAAATCCTTTCTCCCCTTCCAGTTACTTTAAGCAATCAGCCTGGGTCTTGCCAACAGGTACAAAATACAACTTAGGAAGTAATTTCCTCTCTACTGCCTCTGGAATATGCTTTGGGTAAAGTCTGTTTTAGCTGAAGGGAAGTGTTTCATCTTGCTCCTGAATTAGGCTGGTGCAACTGCTTGGTTTATATGCTGTGCATAATTTTATAATACTGGATGTGTTCACTGTTTCCTTCTTCGATCTGTTCCTGACCACAGCCTTTCAGGAGAGAGGTTATGTGGGGGGGGAAAGTAGAGATTGCTAAAAGGAACTATATTATGTATTGAGGTTGACTTGAACTCCCCAACCCACAAAGTTGGAAAAGTTTCAGAGTTAGGCAAAATGGGTTTGTTCAGCCCTAATTACTGTTATTTTAGTTCCTAATATTAATGTTCCTACAGCACTTGGATACTGTTGTGTGCTACATACCATAGATAAGTTGTTATTATTACTACCTTCTAGGTCCATCTTGGCAGTGGAATTTGGGTAGATGAGGAGAAATGGCACCAGCTGCAAGTAACACAAGGAGATTCAAAGTATACAAAAAATCTAGCGGTTATGATTTGGGGAACAGATGTTCTCAAGAACAGAAGTGTCACAGGAGTTGCAACCAAAAAAAAGAAAGATGCCGTTCCCAAGCCACCTCTCTCACCTCACAAATTAAGCATTGTCAGAGGTAGGTTATTTGAAAACTTTTGCTTCCTGCTTTGGAGTTTAACCATTAATCACTGAGTTGAAAGATGCTTCTTTTCAGCTCATTTAAAATTAACTGATTAAAAACTGTAATTCAGATTGCTATTGCATTGTGAAGTGTATATGTACCCAGGAACAGTGAAACACATTGCAATAGCTGTGCACAGTGCAGGCCTCCACAGCTGAAGAGTTTTACATTGACTTCAGTAAGGTTTGAAAAGATCATCACTTTAGACCACTTGCAGGGCAGGACTCTGAGCCTGGAGAGCAACATGTTGTTCTAGAATTCATTTATAACATGCTGATTTTTTAAAGGGCATATATTCCTTTAAACAAGACTGAGAGTAGCTTTACCACGTTCTTTCATCCAGAACATAACCAGCTCTGGCATGAGGCACAGAAACCATTATAGCTGTGACTATAAAAATACGCATACCTTCAAGGGCAAGAAAGAATAGTTTTACCCTTTTAAGTGAAGAAAATGGAAATAATAAAAATTAATTGTTGGACTTGAATTGGAATTTGGACAGGAAGTGTAAATCACTGACCTCATCTGGTAGGGAAAATTGCAATGATGCTTTCAGTAACTGCAAGCCTGAGTCCATGTGTGTAGTACTTTGAGAGAGAGGAGGCCTTTTCCTTTATTTAAACTGGATGGTGAATTTCAGTCCCTTTGTATCATCATGCCTGTGTTGCATCGTTTCTGTCTCTCTTGGTATTTCAAGCTTCTTTTTGAGTCAGAACTGAGTTGGTTCCTCATGGAATATATACTGAAATTGGATTTTTAGGTTTTGTGTCCATACTAAATTGCGGTAGGGCTGAAATAAACCTCCCCATTTGGTAGAGCTTCATTATTCTACATTTCCTGTTCTTAGTTGCTATGTGCTCTTAACTGTGAACTCATTAAGAGGTGTTGTAATCGGCCATGAAAGTACCATGTTTTGGAGTAAGAAATATGATTCCTCTCTGAGTGTGTGCGTGTGTCTGTGTCTGTGTTGTGTGGGGAAAAGTTGGAAACTTATCTCCGTACTGTCATCTTTCTTAGTTTATAAGAAATGAGTAAAAGACATGGTTTGTTTTTTGTTTTTTTTTTTTTTCACTAATCTGCTTCAAGACTATATGTGGAAGTGGAAGCTGTTCCATGCAGATTTTCTAGTTCTGTCTGGGGTCTTTAGGTTCAATCCTTACACATGTAGCTGAGCAATGATGTACTGGCCACATAAGGAATCCACTCTGTGGCGGTGGCTCCCTGTGTCAGCTACAGATGGGAAGCAGAAGTGGTTGCCCTGGTGTGCATTTACAAGCACACAGCAAAAAGGGGTCATTTTCCACTGGCCCATTGCAATGTGGTTTCCAGTTTCCCTGCTGGAGGCTTTTGCTCCTCAACGCTGCTGGCAAAGTTGCTTCTGAGAATTTCCTCTTCTACTTCTGTCAGGGCCACTCTGTGTTGCTCGAGCCATTTAAATGATAGCTTTCTTCTACCTCCCCTTGTTTTGACTACAGTAGTTTGGGAGTCTGCTCCAACAGGTACATGATGAGAGGCAGATAGAGCCCTTCCCTTTATTCCCTTCCATACCTTTACACTCACCAGCAATTCAACTCTTTCCTATTTCCTTGTTTTTCTATGTTTTCTGTCATACCTCTGCTTCAACCCTCATTTGAATTCTACTATTACATACCCTGGTTTTCCATGTTCCTCTTTTTTAGTGTTTCTTTCACTTTGTCTCTGATTTCCCTTTTGTTAGACTCCAGCCTGTGCAATCTCCTCTTGAACCAATTAAACTGCATGGCCAGTGTTGCAGGTGTCAGGCTGCCTGTGTCAGTGGGACTGGGGAGCTCATAACCATGATTTTCCATGTTGTTGTGTCCTTTGCGTCAGTGTTAGCAAGTCTTGCCCCACCATGGAGAAGAAAGCAAAACAAGAGAAAAAGATGACCAGCAAAGGGACAAATAGATGAAATGTGAGGGAGTTTTCCATAGTCAGTGATTTGGATCAGGCATCACAAAAAGTAGTGAAGCCCCTGGTTAGCCTTTGAGGTCTACTTGAATTTTTGGTATTCAGCAGTACGAAGGGGTGTCTGTGTGCTCCTGTAAAGCCAAAAGACAAGGGAGCAGAACCCCCAAATTACTCTTTGAAACCCTAAACCAGTATCCTTATGCAAGTACTAAACTACTATTTCTGCACCTTCTCACAGAAATGGAAGAGATGGAGAGGAAAAACTGTGATCAAGGATCTGTCTGATTCATACCAACTTTTAAAATTAGCTTTTGAATGAGTTCTGTCAAGTGATTCTTTGCTTGACTTAGTGGCTGAACGACCAACACAGCCTGTCTTTCACTGGGAGTTCACCTTACTGGGTGTATCTGCCTGGGAGTGTTCCTGCCACTGTTGTAGGGCCAGTTTGTGTCCTGCAAACACACTGCCTTTCTTCAGGCTCTCAGCGATGTGCCTCTTCTTAGGTGTTGTATTTCCAATCACAGTTTACAGATGATCAGCATTTCAGCTATCAGGCTGCATGCTGGTTAATTTCATTTATTTTATATTCAGTACGTCTTACAATATAAAATTCACATTGCTTTAGATGTTCTCATCATTCTGTGGACACAGACTAACTTATTTAAAATAGATTTTTGAGCGACAACATTAGTTCTTAATGTGTCTGATATCTCTACAGCTTCTTAAAAATCCCCACTGTGTAGTATGTAATAAAGAAATGATAAAAAGTATGATGGATGTGCGCTGTTATAAACCTTGTTAATGCAAAATAACCTTTTATAAAACTTCTCAGAGGTTTCCAAATGAACTACAAAGCATGCATAGTACTTAATTTTCATAACTTTTTAATATGGTACATTAGAAATGTTGTAAACCACGTTAATTAAGCAATAATCTCTATGTCTTTCTGTATATGAAGCAATAAACAGCTAATGGAATAGATCACTAGGAAAGCAGAAAAGAGTTTGTTTAACCAGTCTGGGAAGCCTACACAACAAAATACATTGATCTTTTTACGAAAATCAAAAAATGCCAAACCTGCCTATCACTAAGGAGTTGTGTGTGTTGCACGGCTTCAGATTTCAGTAACCTCTGCAGGATTCTGGCACCAAACTACCAAATCTGTGAAGAAAAATTGTCTCAACTTTCACTGCCCACATTGCTTTTGCAGTTATTGCTATTGCTTTTTATATTCCAGATAATGTTTATTTCACAAAGTGTATTGTTCAAACATGCAAGGAGATGGTGCTTGTCCTGAATAATCTACCAATAAAAGTGAAATAAGCCCAGGGCCAGGGCAGCTGATAAAGACACAGATGTGAATGTATGTGGAAGAGATGTGAAAAATGAAATATATGAGTTACAGTGTTCTGCTGGTTACTGCTTCTCTTCCTAAGCATTTCCATACCCTCCTGAAGGGGTGAAGGTGGGAGTGACTCACTGTGGATACAGCTCTGGTGGGACACTTCATCTAGGAAGAGACTAAATCTGCTGTGGAGATTCAGATAAATGCAGGAGTCAGGCAGGCAAGACTGACACCGTGAAAGGTTGGGTTTAGCCTTGTTTCTGTAGGGAAAGCCTATTAATGTAGTCACAGCATAACTGGAAGTTGGTCATGCCACTGATTCAAGCCTGGTGACGAATCTTGACTTTAACAAGATAGCTGGTGAATAAGGAAAGCTTCTCTTGTCTTGCAACAAATATACACAGTATATACTCACTGCTGTCTCTTGAGCAGTTAGCCCAACTCAGGGCTATATTGTTGTCTAAAAATATCCTAATGACTCTTTCTTTTTCTTTTTTCTCCCCAGAATGTTTGTATGATAGAATAGCACAAGAAACTGTGGATGAAACTGAAATTGCACAGAGACTCTCCAAAGTCAACAAGTACATCTGTGAAAAAATCATGGATATCAATAAATCATGTAAAAATGAAGAAAGGAGGGAAATTGCAAAGTACAATTTGCAATAAATTTTGGATTTTTAATAAAGTCTTAGTGTTTTACTTAAGTGTTGGTTTTTGATTTGTGTGGCATTTTTGCTGATGGGAGAAGATGAATTGAAGCGTTGCTCTCTTCCTATAACTGATTCGTTTTTTGAGCGGTTCTGTCATGGTGTAAACTGCTTTTAACTAATGTAAGATATATTGTAAGTTCACTCACAATGAAAACTGAAGTTTCCAAGGTTTCTCCAGCGAGATGCAGTTTGTTACCTGCGGTTGTACATGGGCTGTGGTTCTGCGGACACCGACCCATTTGCCCTACGTTGAGTTTTACTGGAGTTAGTGGATCTCAGCTGCAGTAAAACATCTGCTTAGAGGGAAGAACTGTACAAAATTCACTTTGCTATTGAAAGGGGTTTTATTGTATTTTACAAAGTGTTTTTCCTGAAATGAAGTTTCAATCGTTTGTTTTTATAAATCTTTGTTTTGATCTCTAACAATATATTTGATCAAAAATACACAAAGAACATTTCTCTTTCAAGTATCTTGTAGGTACATCACTATTACCATCATAGTTTAAAAAAACCAAAAACCAAACAATAAACAACAAAGAACCCAAAGCTGTAAGTTGTAAAATCATGACAATTCATTTTAATAAATAAATCTAAAAGCAGTTCTTTTTCAGGCACCAAGACACTTCAGATTTCTGGTTGTGGTATGAAGTTCCTCAGTGTGTCCATACTATTGTTCTTGAATTATTACCTTTTTAGTGTATTTGTACTTTCAAGCAATTTAAAAATTGCCACACTATGGCAAGAGTATGTACAATAGAAAATTTAGTACCATTTTGTTTGGGTCCATAATTTAACAATGGACACTTTTAGCACAAATTTTAATTACAAATAAAAATAATTTTCTACCTTGAAGTTAGACTTGCGATGCAAAGTTTTTAGAAATAATTTGTCATCTGAACTGTATGTTACTGTCTGTAAGTGAAACAAAATAACCTGAAGTCTTTCCATGAAGGGTTTAGAGATAACTTGAGGTCTGGATTGATGAATTTTGAGGGTTTGTTATATTAGTGATCTCGATTAACCTATTTATTTTAGGCTCAGAGATGTGATTTTCTGCCTTTTGGTCTGCCTGTTCCCGAGTGTCAGGATTTGTTTCTTTTCTACCACTGCAGTTCAGTTTCCTGTAGTTTTGAAAAACTTCCCATTTCTTATCACCTCTCTGTAGCACTGGTCCACCCTGACATGAAGCCTTTTTCGGTGTCCTGTAAATGTAGATAACTTGGGAAGGAACAGGCTGCTAGGGTGGGCTCCCCATGCCTGGAAGTATTTAAATGATAAAAGGTATAGTTGTGGCACTTGGGGACATGGTTTAGTGCTGGGTGAATGCCTGGACCTGATTATCTTAAAGGTATTTTCCAACCTAAATGATTCCATAATTCTTTAAAGTGCTGTGTGGGTGGAAGAAAAAGAGGAGGGGAGAGGAGGAGGAGGATGTGTGCTGGAGCTGCCGTGCCTCTCTTGGAAGAGATGAGTCAAACAGGTTGTTTCTCCCTGTACATCACCTGTATGTAAATAATGGCTTAACTCATAAGTGTTTGCTTTATGCTTTCTAAAGACCTCTTTCATGGCTGCCTTGCACCAGCCTCGTGCTGTGCTGCCAGACAGGAACACCCCACTTTCACCACTGGTGTCCCTGCATTCCTGTCCCTTTCCTTAACCCCACAGGTGTGACAGAACAGGTGTGTCAGATCCCATTGATCTCCAGGGTTCATTTCACAACAGCTGCTTCCTGTAGGATGGAGCCAGAGCTTTCGTGGGGAGGGGTGAAAAGAGCAGGAGTGTGTGTTTTCCAGTGTGCCCTGAAGTTTCTTTGAACAGCCTCCCTTGTGTCCTGCTAATATCAAAAGTGTTCTTAGGTAGTGTTTAATGAAGTGCATAAATGTTTATGCTTCCTAATTTGGGATGCTAAATAGCAAATTAGTGTTTAAAATGTCAGTGCATGTATCCTTTTATTAATTAAAAAGAACAAAATAGAGATAACACTGAAAAACATTTAAAACAGCAAGCTCCCCTTTTCCAAGCAGACTTGTGAATGTTGTTTTTTTAAGTGATACTAAGGCAACCCACTATTTTGGGGAAAATGTCAATAATTTCCTCAGTCTTTTATGGCTTTAGTACTAATGTGTTTCCATTGTAACAGATTCTTTAATGGGAAGATCAAGCTGTAGTTCTTAGAAGATAAGCCTATTTGAGATAGCATTTTATGAAACCTGGAAAAAGCAGCTTAGAATTTAATTAGAGTTAGGACTCCAGCCTGGCCCCAAAAATCAGAAGTGTTAATTCCTTCTGCAAAACCAGCATCATCTTTCTAAGGCTTCTGCTTGACATACTCTTCCCATCAGATGTTAATACTGTGTTTTGCTGAAGAATTTAAATGTTCTCCTTGGGCACAGGATCTTGGAAGGCTTCATAAAGTTTTTCCTGGAGATTTCATCAGCCCAGGTTAGTTTTTGTTTGTGTTCAAGAGGAGTATTTGGGTGACACAAAAAAGTTCAGTTCCATTTGAAATACAGTGTCAGTGGGGGCTAAGAAATGTGTCCATTGGACTGGGCAAGTGGCATTTAATGTGTCACTTGAAACTTTCTTGAGTCATGTTAAGGGAATAGGACTTACTAAAGGTAGAACACCTCTTTATTATATGACAACGTGAACTAAATCTTTGGATACTGGAAATAAGTTTTTTTGCTAATAACAAGCTATTTTTGCACATTGTGGTTTGCAGCATGCTGGGGGCTCTGCAGGGAGTAATGGGTGTGTGAATAACATTTTATACTTGGACTTGGTCATTACTCTTGTCTTTTCCTCCCCATGGGCCAGTATCGAGGTTTTACAATTGTTTCCCAGTGTGTCTGTTTGAAATAGGGAAATAGGCTGCAGTTACATGTTCCAGCAATACCCAAGAAAAATAGGAACTTTAATGGGGTTTGCTTTTCTGCTTTGCAAAACTCTGTATAAATTAACTGTGAGTTTCATTTCATTTCCTACACTGCGGCCAGGGCTGTTCTTGTTGGTACATTAATTCTTCCATAATTGTGCCTGCCTGTACATAGTTTGCTTTGCTCATATTGCATCTGCTGTGAATCCACCATAGGAAACTTTATAGAAAATAGTCCCTACTAACTTTTTCCTGCTCTAGGGTAACTTCATACCTGTACATCATGAAAAACAGGAGAGAGCTTTGACAGAAAATGAAGTAGGTTTTATTACAGGCTGTAATACCCCTCGTTTGTCATTCTAAGGTTTGTGCTGTGCCATTACCTCATACTGTAAACCTGGATTTGTAAGGATCAGAAAGACATGGATTTAAGAGGAAGTGACTGTTTACTCTTTTTTTTAATCAAAGCAGGAAGGAGGCATTGCTGTTTTATGAATAAGCTGATCTGTTGCCACACAATGCTGTTGTAATTTGTGATATTCATGATTTGATCCATATTAAAGTGCCTCTGGCACACTTGCAAGGAAGCAAGATTAGAGTTAACAAAAAGGGCTTTATTTTCTATTAGTGATTTTATAAGGGATATATGAGCTGTTGTGTTAAAGGAAAGAATCCTACCAGGGACTTGAATACCTGAGTCAGGAAATCCAACCACTCAATTAAAAAAAGAAAGCTAGTATTTATTAGAGGGAAAAAAATTGTTAGTTTCTGCTGTTCCAGAATAGGTTTGGATTTACTGGTGCTTTATAGAGATGGGAGGGGTTTTTTAATGTAGTAAAATAGTAGTGTAAAAGTTGAACTCTAAGCAGGAATTCAAGGTTGCATTGGTTAGCTGTTGTTGGCTGATTGACCTGTCAAAAGCCGGTGCATTCTCCCTGTGGGAGGTCACTTCTTTGTGCACCTTTCCTTTAATGTTGTATCTGAGAGATTACTCTGACAGCTGTTTTGTTGTCTCAAGCAGAGTTTATTGTCCTCTTGGCAGTTTTAAGTAGCAATAAATTGAACTTTTTGGGATTTACAAAAATTGTAACAATAATTCTACTTCATACTTCTAGAATCTATAGACTTTTAAAAATTAAAGCTAAGTGCAGGTCATTGCTAAAATGATACAGTCTTGATGCAGAACCTCAGAGAATTGTGTGAATTGGGAACATTGTGTATTAGCTGTAGCTTCACTGTGTCTTAGCTGTGTTCATAGTTTTTAGAACACCAAATCTGGCTGGTTTCAGAAGGGGAAAGCAGGGTTGTGTCACTTGGAGCTGTGCTGAGGATTATTTCAATATTCCATCTTTCTGACATGAGAATTCTCTTTTGAAAGAGACAAAGACACAACTTTGTGCCTCCTCAGAATGAGGTGGTAGCTTTCTCCATACTCTTGAAAAAATTTGTCATTCTGTGCGTGCCTTTAGTCTCGGATTGATGAAGTCATAACATCAATTGCTCAGATTTTATTGGTGTCATTTTTTCATCATAACAGTGTGGAACTCGAAGTGATTCATCCAACACTGAGGCAATAAAAGTGTTATGAAGTGCAATCGTTGCATGTTTCATGCTCAAAAGCTAATTTTTAATTTTACCATCTTGGATATTTTTTCATCCCCTCGGGGTTCCTAAATAGGAAAAGAGAATCATTTGGACTTGGAAAACAGGAACAGTGATTCAAGAAATTAATTTATGTGGTTGTTCATCTGTTTTACTTTTGCAATTATTTCTCCTGTTTATATTTGAACAATAACTTTAATTCCATGCGTCAGATGCCCTCTTGTCCTGCAGTGAAATCATGGTCCTGTGGTTGTGAGATCATTTGTTTACCATAAAGAGGGAAATACCTCACTTATGGCATCAGATGAAGTTGCATCATGCCTGGATCAGAACAAGGGTGAAAGTGAGTCTGGGAGAGGAGGAAGAAGCTGAGCCTAAAGGATTTTTTTCTGTGCTGGAAAACTTCTTCCTACAAAGCAAATTGTTTCCTTCACATTTAGCAGAATATCAACTTTATGTTCCCTGTTTTTTGATAGTAAAGCCTTAATGGAAGTAAAGTCTTCATGAGTATATATGTTTATTGCATCAGGCTACCTACTGTCATGCTGAATTTTGGTCTTTGGTGATTTGAAATTAAAGAGCCACAGAAAATTTCCTGAACAACCTAAGAGAGGCGTAAACTGAGGGTGATTTCACTTTTATTGTAATACAACAATTGCTAGGAGTTCTGCGAAATAGAAGATAAGAAATGATGCGTGTTGGTGCTCATGTATCCTTTACAGTTGGCCTGAACTTTCATGCCTTTGGAGTGGAGAGGGGTGCAGATTTCATGGGATGGACTGATTGTCAGAGGAATTGTCTGTGAGCACCCTTTGGTGTTCACCCTGCTGAATGTGAATGATGTCCTGGGACAGCAGCAGGGGGAATGTGCCTTGATAGCTCCATATCACACTGGTACCAGCCCCTTCCAGAGGAGACTCAGATGAAAAAGCTTTTATGGGAGTTTCATATCCTTTATATTCAAATATATCTTTATTGTCAGCCCAAATGTTTATATAAATCTGACTGAATTGTAGTTTAGTTTTAAAAAAAATTGTACTCTCATGTGTTTCTCATTTTTCTTGTAATTAACTGAGTATCAGTGTTCTGGGAGAAGTCTTTCTCCATGTTTCAGTTGGGGTATTAAGCCACTGATACTTGAAAATAGTCCACTTGGACATTTTG